TGTGGCCCCTGCAGCCAGCCCCACTGTCCTTCCTGGTGTAGTCTCATTTCCTCAGCCTGGCTCGTACCCTCATGTCCCCAGGGCTCTGGAGCTGGGTCCATCCCTTTCCCTGCTGCCACCCTTCCCTGGGGACCACACAAGGCATCTGCTCCTGTCTCTTTAACAACCAGAACGTGGAAACACCTACCTCCCCTCCTGACAAGCATAACTGGTTGGAATGTTCAAAAAATTAATTTTACTAATTGTTAAATGTTAAAAAAAAAAAGTGCAAGAATGCCTGGTTATACAGGTAGAGCATAGGCTTAAAAGGAAAAGGTCTCAGAGTTCCACAGAGATGCTCAGGCAGATCACCAGGGGTGAGAATTGAATGAGCACTTCTAAGACTACCCTTCTGGAACCTACATCCAGTCCAGCCCCTCTGAAGGGCCACCCCGTGTCCCCTCTGGCTCATCTCTATAAAGCTCCTTTGGCCTCTCTCTGTTCATAATCTCACCACGGTCCGGAGTAGAAAAACGTTCTTGGCTTTATGGCCTTCGAGAGTTCCTCCCTGACCATTGGTACTGGCTTGTGTCTCTCCTAAGGTCCCAACTGTGTGTCTTGGGATTCCTGCCCTACAATCCCTCTATCCCTCAGGCACGTGGGATTCCCCTCTACCCCTCCTCTCTGTCTAGTTTTTTAATTCGAACCACATGCACTAACAAGCAAGCTGTGAAGAGAGTTTCTACCTGTTCCTGATGGGATGATGTTATACCCTATGCCAGCATTTTCTGAAAAACTTTAGAGCTTTCAGCTAGCCAGAAACAGACTCTGCCCTTTCCTGTTTCAAAGGCCAGCTCCAGCCGCCTGAGCTGTGCGCTCAGTTTGTTTCTTGTTAGAGGGACACCCTTAGCTCTCAGCTCTTTTAAACAGCAAAGATGACAGACATGTCCTGAATAACTGAACTCAAATAACCTTCTCTCTTTATTTTTCCAGAACGTTCCCTGGTTACTCAGCACTCAGGCATTTTTTCTAAGGGGGATAGAATTCTCCATAGACCCCTAATATACATATTTACAGCATATTTACAGAACTTGGTGTTTCACTTTTGTAATAACGTTTAGTAGGGTGTATATATATACACACACACACACACACACACACACACACACACGAAAAAGCAAGGCAGTTCATAATCACTGGTTAGTTAACTTTGGTTAGTTTTTTTCAAAAATTAAAGTACATAGTAAGAAAATTCAGTGCCGGGCATGGTGGCTCAAGCCTGTAATCCCAGCACTTTGGGAGGCCGAGGCGGGTGGATCACGAGGTCAAGAGATCGAGACCATCCTGGTCAACATGGTGAAACCCCGTCTCTACTAAAAAAAAAAAAAAAAAGTACAAAAAATTAGCTGGGCATGGTGGCACGTGCCTGTAATCCCAGCTATTCAGGAGGCTGAGGCAGGAGAATTGCCTGAACCCAGGAGGCGGAGGTTGCGGTGAGCCAAGATCGTGCCACTGCACTCCAGCCTGGGTAACAAGAGCGAAACTTCGTCTCAAAACAAACAAACAAACAAACAAACAAAAAAACAGAAAATTCAAACAGTTTAGAAAAGCATAAAATTCCATTTACTACCACGATAGTCCCTTACCCAAAGATAATTATTGCTACTGTTTTCTCGTGAATCTTGGGAAAGTAAATTTCATAAGTATACATGCATACTTCCATATTGCTCCTCTGTGTAGCACTGTTTCATTATAACACTATTTGACTATAAAATATTTTCTAGAAAATTATTCATGTACATATGCCAATCTATAATAATTCACTCTTATTTTGCTTATCCTAAGGATATCTTATGCACTCAGCCAATCGGAAGAGTCACTATGTACATTACATGCTCAGCTAATGAGCATTAGTTTCTCATTCCGGAAAACTTTTCGGTGAGTGCTTTCTCATGTAATGCCAAATTGACTTTGTTTCACAAAGAATTTGCTTACTTCCTTTTTCCTACCATTTAGTTTGTGTTTTGGCCAACAGTTTTGATCTGGAGTGAATGACAGAAATCGTACAGGTATTCTGCTGGACCTGGCTGCACAGACATGAGAGAACACCTTGCTGGAGGTCAGTCACACTTCAGTTTTGCAGGAGTTCTTGCCCCTTGCAAGCCAGAATAAGAAACAGAAACTGTGCTATTCAACATTGTACCGGAGGCTATAGCCAGGGCAGTTCGGCAAAAAAGCGAACTACAAGGTGTCCAGATTGGGAAGGAAGAAGTAAAACTGTCTCTATTTGTAGACATAATCTTATGTGGAGTAAATCCTAAGTAATCGTCCAAAAATTTATTAGAGCTAATAAACAAGTTCAGTAAAGTTATAAGATACAGGAGCAACTCACAAAAGTTGGCTGTGTTTCTGTACACCAGCTAAGAATACTCTGAAAATTAAATTAGGAAAAATTCATTTACATTGCTTGTACGCAGGAGGCGGAGGTTGCAGTGAGCCGATATTGTGCCGCTGCTCTCCAGCCTGGGGGACAGAGTGAGACTCTGTCTCAAAAAAAAAAAGAAAAAAGAAAATCATTTACAATAGCATCAAAGATAATAAGGTCTTGATTCAAAATGGATCAAAGACCTGAACATAAAAGCTAAAATTATAAAACAAACAGAAAAAAAGTAGATGTAAATTGTCATGATCTTGGATTAGGCAATAGTTTCTTAGATACTAGGTACTGAAAGCATAAGTAACCAAAGGGAAAAAGAATCAGTAAATTGGACTACAGCAAAATTAAAAACTTTTGTATGACAGAAGACTCCGTCAAGAAAGTAAAAAGACAGCCTACAAAATGGGAGGTAATATTTGCAAATTGTATATCTGATAAGGGACTTGTATTCAGAATATATAAAGAACTCTTACAGTTCAACAATAAAAAGACAAATGACCCAATTAAAAAATGGTCATTCTGGGCCAGGCACAGTGGCTCACGCCTGTAATCCCAGCACTTTGGGGGGCCGAGGTGGGTGGATCACTTGAGGTCAGGAGTTCGAGACTAGCCTGGCCAACATGACAAAAACTCTACTAAAAACACAAAAATTAGCCAGGCGTGGTGGTGTGTCCCTGCAATCCCAGCTACTCAGGAGGCTGAGGCAGGAGAATCGCTGGAATCTGGAAGGTGGAGGTGAAAGAAAGGGAGGAAGGGAGGGAGGGAAGGAGGGAAGGAGGGAAGGAGAAAGGAAAGAAGGAAGGAAGGAAGGAAGAAAGAAAAGAAAGAAAGATTAATCTGGCCAGGTACAATAGCTAACGCCTTTAATCCCAGCACTTTGGGAAGCTGAGGCAGCAGATCACTTGAGGTCAGCAGTTCCAGACTAGCCTGGCCAACATGGTGAAACCCTATCTCTACTAAAAATACAACAATTTAGCAGGGCATGGTGGCACACACCTGTAATCCCAGCTACTCAAGAGGCTGAGGCAGGAGAATTGCTTGACCCTTAGAGGCAGAGGTTTCAGTGAGCTGAGATTGCGCCACTGTACTCCATCCTGGGTGATACAGTGAGACTCCATCTAAAAAAAAAAAAAAAAAAAAAAAAAGGTCAATTAAAGTTGACCTTTTTCCAAAGAAGATACTCAGATGGCCAATGAGCACATACGATGCTCAACATTATTGGCTATCAGGAAATACAAATCAAAACCACAGTGAGATACCACTTCATACCTACTAAATGGCAACAATGAAAAAAGACAGATAATAACAAATATTAGTGAGGACTTAGAGAAATTGGAACCCTTGTACACTGTTGATAAAATGGTGCTGCTGCTGTGGAAAACAGCCTGGCCGTCCCTCAAAAACTTAAGCATAGAGTGACCCTATAACTGTGCAATTCCATTTCCAGCTAAATAACCAAAAGAAATGAAGAACTTGTACTCAAATATTCATAACAGTATTATTCATCATAGCCCAATATGAAGACAACCCAAATGCCCATCAACAGATGAATGGATAATCAAAATGTATTATATCTATAAAGTAGAATATTAATCAGCCATAAAAAGGAATGCAGTACTGATACTTGCTACGGCGTGGATGAACCTTGAAAACCTTATGCTCAGTGGAAAAAGCTGGACACAAAAGGCCACATACTATATGATTTCATTTATGTGAACTGTCCAGAACCAGCAAATCCATAGAGACAAGAAGTAGAGTTTTTTTTTTGGAGACAGGGTCTCACTCTGTCCCAGGGGTGGAGTTCCATGGCACAGTCATGGCTCACTGCAGCCTTAGCCTACCAGTCTCAAGCAATCCTCCCACCTCGGTCTCCCAAAGTCAGAAGCAGATTAATGGTCGGGGCCTGGGTGGAGGTGGAAAGGGGATTAGGGAGTGACTGCCAGTGTGTATTTAGTTTCTTTTTAGGGTGATTAAAATGTTCTAAAGTTGATTATGGCGTTGGTTACATGACCTTATGAGTATACTAAAAACCACTATATGTGGATTACGTCTCAATTTTTTTAAAAAGGAGAGAGATTTATGGAAATCATTCGATGTTTTCTGCTGTCTCATAACATCCCTGTAGCCTGGTGGGGTCGATCAGTAATTGTCTTGGGGAGAGATGGGAAAAGAAATGAGGGCAGGAGGCAACTCGTGACCTCTGAGGATTAGATGAGACCCACGAGGCCATTTCCAGAGTTGGATGAATGGAAGACATCTCCTTAGGGTCTGTGATATAACAACCTCATGGAATGATAATTTACTCCCAAGAAAACATCCCCCACACACAAGTGTATACACACAAGATTGTGTGTTTTATCCACACCATGCTATACCTCCCATTTTCCTCTTAATAATAGAATCCTGGCCACTCTTTTGTTATCAGCACAGAGAAGTCTTTGTTTTTGTAACTGCTGTGGGTATTCCCAGATTATGAATGTTCCGTTACTAACCATCAAACATTTGTTAACATTGGGCGTCATGATGGTCATTTCTAGTTCCTTGCTTTTCCAAACAGTGCTGTGGTGAATGGTCTCACACTTACTGTTGGATGCACTGCTTGTGAAATGGAAGATCCAAAGAGCACGCTGTGCTGGCAAGACTGAGGAAAGAGCTTCTCTCCCGAGGACTTGTCCTCCTGCGCATCTTGCTGTGTGCTGGGCTGAAAACTAGGCGAGCCCTCCACCCCTGCTGCTGCTATCCTCATGCCTCGGGCCCTGCTGTCCCCCAGCGAGGAGGGAAAAGTCCTTCTCCAGCTCCCACGGGCCATCTGCTCCGTATTGAGTCATCGGATGAGGCGATCCTTCCCATTACCTCAGCACACAGCTCTGCACATGCTGTTAGTGTTCAAAATGGGCTTCGAGCCTCCTCTTGTAAAATGAAGCCGATGTTTATCTGATTCGCCTCTTTCCGGAAGAAGTCGTGATTTTTTTCTTTTATGCAATACAAAAAAAAGTTTTCCATTTTTATTCTTTCTACTTTTGCTTCCAGTAATTTTCAGGTTCTCTGGATTCCTATGTTCTGAATGTGTGTGGCAGACCAACAGCCTGGGTTATGACTGTGTCACTGTGAACACCTTAACCCTGATAGAGGGAGAGGCCCCCGTGAACCCAGCTTATGAGATCAGTCTCGGCACATTGCACAACTCTCCCCTACCCCAAACAGAACACTGTGAAAAGTACAGTCAAGGCCTTGTACTGCTTGGATCCTGTACTCAGAGTTGATTCTGTCTCACAGTGTATGTTTCATACAATTCAGTTAAGCTTCCTCTAAATTATTCTAAATTATTTAGTTTAGTTTTTAAAAAAATCAAAACCACACTTAATGCTGATTTAGCAAGGACAAAGCTATGTAGCAAACCTCTTGACTCCACTGAATGGATGAATGTTTTTCTTCACAGGCTTTAGCTTAAATACATTCCAGGCTATATCATCTCTTAAAACTGTAGATATTCAAGTCAGAAAAGACATTAAAAGTGATTTTGCCGCCAGGCGCAGTTGTTCACGCCTGTAATCCCAGTACTTTGGGAGGCTGAGGTGGGCAGATCGCAACGTCAGGAGATCGAGACCATCCTGGCTAACACAGTGAAACTGCATCTCTACTGAAAAAAAACCAAAAGATTAGCCAGGTGTGGTGGCACACACCTGTAGTCCCAGCTACTCAGGAGGCCGAGGCAGGAGAATCGCGTGAACTCAGGAGGCGGAGGTTGCAGTGAGCCGAGATCGAGCCATTGCATTCCAGCCTGGATGACAGAGTAAGACTCTGTCTCAAAAAAAAAAAAAAAAAAGTGATTTTGCCTAACCTTCCCTGTGCCTGACAGGTGGCTACTCTGCTTCTCTACCTGAGTAGTTCTAGACTTCAGGTCTCATTGCACTAGCAGACAGATTTCCTGTGGGAACAGCCTGATCCTTAGAATGGCCCTTCTCAGACTGGGCTGGAATCTGCTTCCTGCAACATCTGCGCAGTCCGCTTAGCTCTTACCTCCGGAGTTGCACAGAATGCGCCTTGCTCCCACCAAAACAATCCACATTTCTGAAGACTTCTTTCTTTTCCTGACCTATAGGTCACTTTTTTGGGTGAATTTAGCATATATACTGCATGCCTGGGAGAACGCTGACTTTCTTGGGCTTGGTCCTTGGTCGTTCTCTCTGCTGACAGTGATCTTCTCCAAATGCGACAATTGCAGTGAACACAGCCTGCTTTGAGGCTCCGCCCACGAAGCATGGAGTGGAACTGTTACTGCATTCCTGGATATGGAGCATCCAGAAAAGAAAGGGCAAGCGTTCGTCCAGTTGGATTCACTCAGATACATATACCCTGTTTCTTTTTTGTTATTCTTTTAAGAGATGGGTCTTGCTCTCTTGCCTAGGCTGGAGTGCAGTGGTGCAATCAAAGCTCACTGCGGTCTTGAACTTTTGGGTTCAGTGATCCTCCCACCTCAGCCTCTTGAGTGGCTGGGGCTACAGGTGTGCACCACCACATCTGGCTTTTTTTTTTTTAGGTGGAGATGGGGGTCTCGCTTTGTTGCCTAGGCTGGTCTCGAACTCCTGGCCTCAAGGGATCCTCCCACCTTGGCCTCCGGAAATGCTGAGATTACAGGCGTGAGCCACTGCACCCGGCCCCATATTTCATTTTTACATTCAGTATGATAAACCTTGTCATGGCAGTTCTACCATTCCAAGTCCTCTGCATTTTTTTCTCCTTAATAACAGTCTTTGGGTGCTTTTAATATGCCAAACACTATCCTAAGCATTCTTTTTTTTTTTTTTTTTTGAGATGGAGTTTCACTCTTGTTACCCAGGCTGTAGTGCACTGGCGCGATCTTGGCTCACCGCAACCTTCGCCTCCTGGGTTCAGGCAATTCTCCTGCCTTAGCCTCCTGAGTAGCTGGGGTTACAGGCACGCGCCACCATGCCCAGCTAATTTTTGTATTTTTAGTAGAGACGGGGTTTCAACATGTTGACCAGGATGGTCTCGATCTCTTGATCTCATGATCCACCCGCCTCAGCCTCCCAAAGTGCTGGGATTACAGGCTTGAGCCACCGTGCCCGGCCTTTATCCTAAGCATTCTTAATACGTTATCTCTGATTTGATTCCAAAAGTGGCCTTATGAGAGAAGTGCTGGTACTACAGAACCATGTTCCTCCCCATTTGATAGAGAAGGAAGCAGGTACATGGAGATACTAAGCAGTTGGCCATGTCCGCACAGCGAGAAACAGTAGTGCTGGGGTGAAAGCAGAGGCGCATCTGACTCCAGAGCCCAGCTGCCAACTGCTCCTTTCCCAGCTGCCTTCCTCAGTGGGATTCCCATGACATTGGCATTCCTCCTGTTGATCCAGCCCACCATTGTGCTTACCTCATTGGAAGCCACAGCAGTCACCTCCTGCTAGATGTTGTGTTTACAGAAAATTGAATGTACTAAATCTTTTTCATAGGCAAACAGTTAATTTTTACAAAACCTGTTCTCTCTATTAGATATTTTCTTCATATTACTTGGACTCTCAGTTCAGCCTGTGGTTGCTCTTCTTGACTGTGGATGCTGTCAATCAACCAGCTAAACTCCCAGCTGTAGCTCATAGGTAAATCTGTTCAGCCAAGCAATCACCATTCCTTGGGCACAGCCCTAAGGACCTCCGTCCATGTCATAGCAAATAATTTAATCAACACCCCTGGGGGTCTGTTCTTCAGCCTTCCATAAAGCCGTGAAATGACCACCATAGCATGCTCACCACCACATCCATTCTGCTGGCTGCCTTGCAGGAGTCAGGATGCCCCAGTAAGTTTCTGGAATTGGCCCTCAGGATTCCACTGTAACTCCTGTAGTTCATCATTTTGCTCTTCTAAGTGCTCACAAACTCTCTTCAGTAACGTCGTCACAGATTTTGCCCCCCATCTCTTATCTTTGCAAATCAGAATAGCTGTCTGCCTCCATCAGCTTCTTTCTCATTGTGTGACTAGATCCCCCCAGAGATCTGTGATCACATGTATCACAGGTAGAAGCTTTCAGAGCTAGAGCCTGTCCCTCACCTGGGCTTGGAACTGGAAGGAGCCCTGTCCGCTGTAACATGCAGCAGTCCCCACATGGCAAGGCTTGCTCTGCCGTGAGTAGCCTGAAAATCATTCTCCTTGGCAGGAAAGTTGAATCAAAGTGGGAGTCGAATTGTTCTCTTCTTTCTGCCTCCTCTTAAGCACCTGGTCTTCCTTATGCTCCCAACTTCACCTCCAAAGCCCTTTTTCTTGTCCAGGGTCCTCTCCACGAGCTCATCCTGAAGTTTTGCCTTATTGGCAGTCGTTTTACAGCCTCCCAGCTCGCTTTCTGTAGTGTGCGTTTTTCCCTTCTCCAGCCTCCTGCTCATCTTTTGTCCATGTTCTCTGAGAACCACCCTTAGCAGAAACCACCTGTGCAGTCACGTGGGTGTCTTGGCTCTCCATTTTTCTCTTTCTCTTTTGCAAATGTGTCTAGATCATCACTTGCTGTGTTGAATGAGGCAATACAGCACTCAGACTATTGCATTGATCTGTTTCTTATTCTTTCTCCATATGGTGTTTTGTTTCTCAGAGAGGAACTTCTGATACTTCGGCCATTAAAACCTGAGGACATTTTTGGTTTTACATTGATACTCATTGCTTTTCTGAGTTTCGTCTTTCATTTTCCTACCCTGATTATCAAAATGTGCGGTTTCTTTGCATTTTCCACAGTTCTGCTAGCTATAGAGTTTCTCCTTACCACGTTCATTAGCAGCTGATCTGGGACGCTGAGACTTCTTTGGATATCCACCACTGGGTGGTTGCACTATCAGGAAGACAAAATAAACCTTCTTTATTTTCCGGTGGCTCCTGAGGGATCCTCCTTCTGTCTTAAATCATCTTAGCAATTGCCTTTTTCAACACCAGAGGACTATCTTTCTGTGTCTGCTGCAGGCTGATGGTCCCGGTGGGGAAGCCTTTCCTGCTGGGTAGCTGTTAAATCCATTTTGAAAAGCATACAGACAGTCACACCTGCCAAATACCAGCGGCGTTGATACAATACAAATTTATTAGTTAAAGGTTTGTTCACAACCTTTTGTCCCATTTCTTTTGGTAGCACTGCAAATGCTAGTCAGTGGCAAGTGTGCATTATTCACAGTTTATAGATAGGAAAATTGTCACAGAAAACAAACAGTGAATAGAAAATTCCTGTGCTTTCATCATTCTGCCTCCATGTTTTACCCAGAGGTGTCTTCATGGAGCAGTGTATACCGAAGGGCGGCGTGTGTAAGGAAGATGCCCAGACCTAGCTTAGTAGGACTTTACGTGACTCTTGAAATGTGTTGTTTCTTTTATTTATTTATTTATTTGAGACGGAGTTTCACTCTTGTTACCCAGGCTGGAGTGCAATGGCGCAATCTCGGCTCACCGCAACCTCCGCCTCCTGGGTTCAAGCAATTCTCCTGCCTCAGCCTCCTGAGTAGCTGGGATTACAGGCTTGAGCCACCATGCCTAGCTGATTTTTTTGTATTTTTAGTAGAGATGGGGTTTCACCGTGTTGACTGGCATGGTCTCGATCTCTTGACCTCGTGATCCACCTGCCTTGGCCTCCCAAGGTGCTGAGATTACAGGCATGAGCCACCGCACCCAGCTGTTTCTTTTATTTATTTTCTGATGATGATGAGT